AAGAAGAGACTGAAGATCAGGGAAAAAAAAAACAACACACTTTTGAGAGAACTGTAAATATTGCACCGTCCGTATATATAGCAGTATTATATATATGGTGATAAGGTGTAAAAAAAAATGTCATTAATAATCATTGTGAATTATTGTTTTGCAAATTGTTGGGGGAAAAAGCTGCCTGCTGATTTTCCATTTCAGAATTTATGTGTTTGTTTTGTTGTTTGTATTAGGAACTGAGATAGTAAGGGTCTGGTTTGCAAATTTTCAGTACTTTTTGTTGTGTATTCTAATTTCTCAAGGTATTTTAATGGAAGTTTCTTGACCATTTCTTATTTTTCTAAGTTTTTTTTTTTTTTTGGGTTGAATATATGTTGAATGAAAGTACGATATGGGTTAAATAAAATGAATCAGAAACTATATATTAGGTAATTAATTAGAAAGATTGTGGGGGTTTGAAAATCATGCTTTTGATATTCTGGGATTCTGTTGGGGCCATGGCCAAGTCGTAAAGGCCACGTTTTCTGTTGGTAGTGACGTGGTAGGTTTGGGGTTTGGCTACAAGAACAAGATCAATTCCTTTGTTATAACTAAACAATTGTGCCACCTTTTTTAATCTCTATTTCTTCTGGGACGAATTCAGGCCTCTATTCCTTGATTAGGACAAATGCTGGCCAGAATTCGAATTCTCACTTTTGTTATTTAAGTTTTTTACATAAAGAAATTGCGAATTCTCACTTCAACATTTTAGTACTAAATTTCTATCTCCAAAAAGATCTCAACAACAATGTTCTTTGCTTTTTTTCTTTTTACACAAAGAAATTGCGAATTCTCGCTTCCACATTTTAGTACTAAATTTCTATCTCCAAAAAGATCTCATTGTTCTTTTTTTTTTTTTTCTTCTAAGCTTTGTACACAAATAAATCGTGCATCTTTTGAAACTTATTGTTTGTCTAAATCATGAAATTTTTTCATGCTTCATGGAATGGTGTATATATATATATATATATATATATAACCAATTTTTTTATGGGTATATAATTCTAATAGAGGTGGAATTTGAACTGTTTGTACCAAACGGAACTTATTTTGCTCTAGTTTGCCATGTGCAATGAGGTAGATCATAATATTTTGTCGACATAATTGAAATGGAGATTTCAAACCTACGCAAACATCTGAACTTAATAGCTTCTAAAGAGGTTATTGATACTTAATTGAAATGGAGATTTTAGATATAGACAAAGATTCGAACTTATAGCTTTTAAAGAGGTTATTAATACTTGACAAATTGTTATTCTACTCACATAAGAGAGAAAAATATGAATTTTGTTTATTGGCAGCTAAATAAAAAATTTGTTAACTATTGAGTCATGGTTGGATCTCTACTTTTGCAATTGTTGATTTAACGTTTAAGTTTAGAGAAAATATAAATTTTAACTGTAAACTTGATAAGCTGTATTTTTTTCCTTGTAATTTTACTTTGGAAACACACTTTAGTGTTTTCAAACTCTCATGAAAGTTTAGGGACGTTAAGTAAGTCATTCGGAATTTATTTAGACTTACTAAATTAAATGGAACGGATTATATTTTTAGTTTTTAAATTTGAAATTTAAAAATACAAAAATTAAAAACTTTATATTTTATGTTATAAACTCAATTCCATTGGGTTAAAATTAAAACAGTATGACATAATATATTATAAATTAATAAATATATGTTAATTAAAATCTCGACCGGCTACTAAATTTTGTTTATAATATTTAAAATTAAATTAAATATTTAGCTTATCTTTCGGCAATGCAGTTGGTGAAGGGGGCGAAGATTTAAACCAGCAATTTGGATTGCAATTTTTCAGTGGACTGAAATTCGTTCCTATCCTCCAATCGTTGAACATGCAAGCAGATTTATTAGCCAAGTGTGTAATTATCCTTTGACACTTCTATTTTCCATCATGGCTTATGAATGGATACCACTTTTCAGATGTAATCTTAGTGGTTTTGTTACTTGATAGAGTGTTTCTTTAATCAAACAAATAAAAGTTGACACTCATATAATTACTCAATTCCTAAATATGTTATCAAATACATTATAAAAACACTATATTTAATGCCTTATTTTAGATTTTAACTCACGCATCCTCGCATGCAGCCCTAAATTGATTTTGCTCTCTGTCTCCTCTCAGTCGCAATCAAGGTAAAAATTTCCTTATTCATACTTTTCTTCGATGACGATCGTTTTCTCTGATTTGTAGAACCGCTGAATGTTTTCCTCTCAACTCAAACATTTTGCTCATTATCTTCTCTCGTTCTTGCTGTTTTCTGGAGCTTGAAATTGATCCCCAATTTTGCTTTCACCAGTTCGAATCCTCATCTGCTAGAAACATTTTCGATCGGATTTGGCGCTCAAAAACTCTTGCGATTATCTTTAGAGGATCGGAGCAACTAGCTGATTATTTTTTAGAACTCCGCCTTCTTTTAATCAACTTTTCTCAACTGATGCAAGCAATTTGTCTCGGTGCTATCAGTTTTAGTTCATCTTTCATGATTTTCTCGAAATTTTGTCGAGATTGGTTAATTCAATACTCTGAACTTTTGGTTTGTGGATTTTCTTGCACTTTATCCACTTTTTGTACTTGATTTCCTTTTAAATATTTCAGTTGTGGATATCCCAAATGCATTCATCGTCTTGATACACTGTTCTAAATAACTTTCCTAATTCTTCGGTAATATCGCTAAAAATGTTCTGTTCAAGAGATTAGGATCGTTACAGACTTCGTTAAAACAAGTTTAAAAGTTCACAATCCACCCTAGATTTTTTTAATTTCCAATTTAGTCCCTACTTCGTAACGATTTAGTTATTCCACGTTTTTTAAAGTAACAGTTTAGTCCTAAACTTTAATTTGTAACAATTTAGTCCTTTCAATTTTAAACCCTGTTGTAAAAACTTTTATTAAAATTAAGTGTCAAATTTTATCATATAACAATTTAATATTCCTAATTCATAAATATATTTTGTCCCTCTTTAGTTTATCAATTTATACATAATGATTAGATCGTTACCAATTTTAAATTATAAGTATTAAATTGTTACATACTAAAATTTAAGGACTAAATTGTTACCAGTTTGAAAGTACAAGAATTAAGTCGTTACAAACTAAAATTCAGGAACTAAATTGTTGGGGTTTTTTTTTAATATTGTTGTAAATGAAACTTATTTTAAAAATATAGTTGTTTAATTAAAAATATGTTATATTTTGAAATTTATTTTAAAAATATTGTACTTTTAAAAAACAAAAGATTGCGAGAGACGACCATTTAGACGTGGCGCCACGTAATTTTTTTAAAAAATTTGAACGTGGTCGACGACCATGTGGGTTGGTTCATTTTTGGAAAAAATAAAAATAAAATTTGTTATATTATATATTATTTAGCAGTTTTAATGTAAAAAACTTCTTAGTGATGTAGTGGGTATACTGTTACCCTAATATCACTTCCATTCTAAGTTTGAAAAGATATTAGGGTAGTAATACACCCACTACACCACTAAATACTATATAATATAAAAAATTATATTTTTTTTTCTAGAAATGAACCGACCGGATGGTTGTCTCTTTAGACGACCATGTTCTAAAAAATTTACATGGCGCCTTGTCTAAATAGTCCGTCTCTTGAAGAGACTACCAACCTTCTGTTTTTTAAAACTACAATATTTGTAAAAAAAAGTTTCAAAACCTATAATATTTTTAATTAAACAACTATATTTTTAAAATAAGTTTCATTTACAACAATATTAAAAAAAAACCCTAAATTGTTACTTTAACGAAATTACATTGACTAAGAATGTTTTTTGGAATTGCTTGTAAATAATATTTCCAGCTTTTCCTTTTTTTTTTTTGGTCCAACTCCACCTAAGTAATGTTCATATTGTGAAGCACCATTTTCTGTCGGTGCCAAATACACTTCACCTGAAAATTATGTTGAAAGAGTTACCAAAAAAGGTTATTCAAACAAAGATTCAATTTATAGCAAATAAGAATCTTATTGTTCATCTCTCCTTGATTCTGCCAAAATGCAGATGTACTTACACAGATGGACGTTCTTTCCTATCTAGTAAATCAGAATAACATTATTCGTGTGACATCTCTTCCTGTTGAAGCTTCATCGCCTTATTTATGGAGTCTAAAGCTCCAAAAAATGGAAAATGAAAAGGGGTTGGAGGACGGAGAAAGAAATAAAAACAAAGAATCAAATAAAGATGTCGAGGAAAGAGCTCTCCGAAGCTGATCATGACTCGGAAGTATCAAGATTCATGAAGTTTTATTTCAAAATCAATTGACAATAAGAGAAGTCTCACTTATATTATAAACAATTATTAGGTTAAACACGCCCTCTCACGATCAATGAGCTTATTTAAAAAATGAGATCTGGTTGTGGAAACTTACAATCACACAAATTTCTCTCCGACCCCAATTACACATAGCTCCCTCAAAGCAGATACCGCTTGTCCTTTTATAGTACTTGAGCACACTCCCTCATACTTTTATGAGTACTTTCCAATGTGGGACAAACTTCAATCTTAATATTTCGTCAAAACCTAATGAATTATCTCATAATCAATTAACAATGAAAGAAGTAGTCTCCGTATATTATAAACTTTTATGAGTTTCCTCGAGAGAAAACAAATTGATATTGGAGGGGGAAGCAAAAGAAATGGCAATAGAAGAGGGTACAGGAATGGTGTAGCAGCTGAATTATGGAATATGATTTGTTTCCTCGGAGGGAAACTTATCTGAAAGACAGCTAGGATGGTGGGGAAAAGACCCATTAGCCATTAGGCCATGTCTGGAATTAAACTCCATTGTTAGGGTTTTGTAGGCTAGGTTCAGTGCAGGGTTAGGTGGCGTGGGCCTGCAACAGCCCATGCTAAAATTGACCATTGATATGGTTTAAGGGCCCCTCACCCTCCACCATCTTGACTTTTGAGGTCCCTTTCTTATCATTTCTTTTTTCCTTTTTTCTTTCTTCTTTTGCAGGTTCAGCTCATTTATTGGAAGCGTTTTAAGTTGTGTACAATTATGGAGCGAGAGCCCCATACTTCTGTAAGGTATGCCTGACAACTAAAGAATCTGTACATTTTCTTTTCTTTTAGCCCCACTTTCTAGGATCCAAAATCCGTGACAACTTTGAACATAGAGTGATTAAGAGAGCTGTAATTGTTTCTTCATGGTTGGAATCAAATTTTTATTATCTATCTCTCAATGTGTTGGTAATCAACAGTTATTTACACCCAAAAAGGAAAGGAAAAGGAGGAGAAAGAGAAGATTGACTGCACTGTTGCAGGGATTGTCAAAAATATTGTGTAGAAATTAAGAGTGCCACTGCAAAAAAAAACTCTCCTATCTTCAGCTTCAATGGTCCAAAAAATCTGAGCTGAGTTAAAAGCCCATAATTTAATTTTTATACCAGCAGATTTTTATTTATACACAGCTCAGTTATCCTTGCAATTTCTTGAATAACTAGGCTGCATCTGAAAGAAATCAAATGAGGCTCCTGACCTTCTAGTGGCGCTTGGAGACTCTGAAAGTAGAGGCTCGTAAACTGTGTTTCTGTTTTTGGGCTGAGTTATTGAGAGCGGGGAAACTTCTTTCTCAATGGGCCGAGGCTGAGGCTCGATGTTTTTGAGCGACATGATCGGCCCACCCAATCGTTCAGCCTGCTGAAGAGTGTTGATTTTGCTTGGTCTGTATGTATATCTGAAGTACTTGATAGCCAGAAGTGGGCCCATTCCCACGCCTATTATCAACTGTGAACATATAACAGGAGATTAATAAGGAAGGAGAGGGCCAGATTTTGATTCTGAAGTCCTGAAAAGGAACATTGGCCAGTGAGTAGACTTACAAATATGGTTATCCAATATGATGGTTGTCTACATAATCGAAACATTATAGTATACATCCCAGATGAAGGAATGCCACTGAAGATCCAATTGATGACATAGAAAGCAGCTAAATTCCCCCATATGGCAATATGTTGCAGCATCGTAAATGAACTGCAAGAATCAATAAAATCTCAGATGGTTCGGGAAGAAGGCATGAGATTTCGGCTCGATGATCTTTGGACTTGGTCGATGATATAATACGAGACTCGCGAGAAACAAAATGAGCGACAAGAGGGGAGCTTACTTGGTCTCTAAAGTCACTACAAAAGCTTGTAACCAGATGCACCCAGAGAGTGCCACCATTGAAACCTCCACCATTTCGCTCTTTTCATTAGCATAGGCATGTATGCTAATTACAAACACGACAACAGCCTGAAAAATATCAGCCCATAAGGGAGATGAGACATTTTAAAAAAAGATAAAAATAAAACATGACTTCTTGTTGAAGGAAACATTTCAGTCATTGTTACTAAGCAATTATATTTTTATCAATTGAAACCATGATTAAAACGTCAGAACTTCTCTTTTACATGGTTTTTCGACCTTCCTTCAAATTGGTTAAACACGGAAAAAAAAAGAAGGATATTCCATCTTTGAAGGATCATCCAAAACGGATTGAAATGATCATCTTCGAACTGAAATTTTAAATTACTTCACGAAAACAAATCAGTGTTCGGATATAGTCACTTACATGAAATAGAGATCGACCAAACCATCCAGCAAATGTGCTGGGATTTAAAAGCCTGTTTCACATGACAATAGGTGTGATTAATAACCATTAAAATACGGTAAATGTAGCATTACAGAACCCAAATAACTTAAGGAACATATCCGACATAAAAAATGTTTTAAGAAACAAGAAAGATTTTGAAATCCTAACCTCCCAGCTTGGCAGTAAAATAAAATCTGGGGATGTTGCATCACTGTTTCTTCACTGAGATCTTTGTCAAGGACGCTAACCAAAACAGGAATGCTGGTGTAGAAAACATTGTAAGCCATCAAGCTAACAGAATTAAAGAGACTGGTCCCAGATACACCTGAAATGAAAGAGAAACTGAACATATTCGAAAGTCAGTGCTTCTTGTACATGGTTGTCAAGAAAATTAAGAAATCACATCCATATTTGTTATTTTCAAGTGTCACAATCAATTTAGAAACACTTACGAGATTTGGATAAAACATATCAATAAAGATTTATAGAATGAATATTGTGACAAAAATGCTGTACGGTTATATGAGTATCGTCCATGAACTAGAATCAATCTCTTCAGAAACCTGAACTCTGCACACCAAAAGAAGCCAACGAACCTTGGGTGTCAGCTAAGAAGACAAATCAATTCATGATATTTTAATACGATTTGATATCATCGCAATGCATCCCATTGAATTTACAAGCAAAATATTTGTCATCTCTGTAGGATTGAATCCTGAGTTATTGTGAATAAACAGATGAAACGGTGAGTTCATTCCAGCAGAAATGAGGGTATTGAATTACATACCTAAAGCAAAGGATTAATAACTACAAGTACATGAAATTCAAGTCAGGTTATTAAATCAAAAGCTTACGAGATGATGTGATGATGGCATTTTACTTGCTGCAGAAGTAGATTTTAAAACATGGGAAAGGCAAAAAGAGCTAACAACAAATACCCTTCGGGGGTTTGCAAATTTTGCAAATAATAAGAAATGAATAATACAAACAAAAAATTAAGACGATCATTTAGACAGTATAGTGGATAAAAAGATTATATTTCACAAATGTTGCAAAGCTAGTTATCATGGAACTTTATCTAAGTCTACCGGACAAATCTTCGATAAAAATCAAACTCTCATGAAGTATTATACTTTAAGTACTGTATTTTCTGACATAAGAGAGTAATTCTTACTATACATGGCAAAAGTAACCATTAAGGAATCAATAATCCATCTTGATGCCACAGTTATCAGTCCCTTACATAGCAAGGCAGCATTTGGTTAAAAGAGAGATATTTTCAGAAGAAATTAATTCTAATACAAATATATAAAATATGCAAGCCAAAATGTGATGTAGTTTCTCAGAACAATTAATCTAAATATGTCGTCATTAACTCCTCAATCACTAAAAGGTGCACCGTATAGCTTAATTCTATTTTTCCTAAATATTTCCGGACAACACATTAAGGTATCAAAAAGAGAGGTTGAGATCATTAGGGGTTCCAAAATCTCTTTCATATAAGATGTAACAAGAAGTATACATCATTCAAACAAGGGCATAAAAAAATTGTAGAACATGATTGACATTAGAACTAGCAGTCAACTGCACTGTCAAACAAGATTTCAACATTGGAGTTTCTCAAAGAAAATAAATCATCTTCAAATGTAGAGTGAATAACAGTAATACATACTTCCAATACTATAATCAGCTGCCCTAGCTGCCTGCAGTCCTTCTCTTCCACTAATGCCAACACCAATGTCAGCTTGTTGTATCATCCTCACATCATTCCCACCATCGCCAATTGCCAGTGTTCTATAGTCACAGGATTTTAAGAGTTCCACAAGCTGCAAAATGCCAATTATGTGATGCTCAACGACCCACAGGACAAAATAAAACGATGGACCACCAGATAAATAAAAGAAATAGAAATTAGAGGACCACCTGAGCCTTCTGTGATGGCGTCACACGACAACATATTGCAGTTCTTGATAATATTGCCAACTCAGTGAAAGCCCTTCGATAATTCTTTAGAGCAATTTCAAGAGCCCAGCCATCAACGACAAAAGCAACATCCTGTTGAGAAAAGAAGCCGACAAGGAGAAATGAAAGGTGTTCTTGCATTACCAATGGGCCTTTAAAAAGAAGTCAACATCAAATGATTGGACATGCGCAGAAATTTTACCTTGGGTTCTGAAGTTGTTGTCTTCATAGTTAGAACAACTCTCTCCAAACTTCTGCAAACTTCATCCTCCGTTTTTCCATCAATTAACAGTAATTGTCCTTTGGGCTCTGTGACATAGTAAATGCAAAGGAGAAAGAAGATGAATAGGAATTGCATGCAAAATTATGGAAGGAAAAATAATGATAATAATACTGAGGGATGAGGCAAAAAACTAAAAAATGCATCTTCTTCGAAAGAGAGTCAATGCTACAATATAAATTTGACACATATATGGCTACCTGGTGAAATAAAGTTGCATAGAAGAGCTATCTGAATGGCAGTATTCTGCTTGTCTCCTGTCAGCATCCAAAAATTTATTCCTGCTCTTCTCAATGTTTCAATTGTTTCTGGGACTCCATCCTGAAAGGTATTATATGATAAAGAGTAGACATTTCAGTTTCTGATCTCCACAATGATGTTTTGCCATAAGCATGTGCATGTTGTTATCATTTTTCAATACTATTTTTCCTACAACAGTTCAGAAATTGGATAACTGCAACTTACCTGTAGCCTATCTTCTATAGCAGTAACTCCAAGGATTTCCAAATTGCGCTCTAACCTTTGGCAAACTTCAGCTAGCCTCCACTACAACATAGGAAGTAGATAAGCCACATAAAAATACAACATCCAGAAAAAGATGTCCATACGGAAAAAGAATAGCATAATATGGGTGTACCAATTACCTCCCTGTCAACCAATAAGCTATTAGCCTCCTTAAACATAAAAGCCCATTCTCGATACTCATCTTCCTCTAGTTCACGCCAAGCCATACATAATGTGCGGAGCCCCAGTTGTGCATATTGATCCACGGCTTCAATAAATGTTCTTGTTTGCTGGCCTGAAGTAAAATTTAAGTAATAATCACATCAACGTAACTTGTGAAACGGAAGTAATAGAATTCTCCAATTTGACATCATTAAATATCAAGAGGTATCAATCTCTAATCAGGAGGCAGATTTTTTTTAGCCAAAAGTAAATGGTGCAACAATTTCACGTTTTTTCTATTAAGTGTTCTAATCAAATACAGTTCAACGACATTTCTCAATGTAATTGTTAAAAAACTGTGCATACAGGAAATTAATGTAAAATTGCCAACTCATCTCCTTAAGTCTCGCCTGAGGGGAAAAAAGTGCTAGGGAGGTAAAGGAAAAAGAAGATTTTTGGATAATAGTACCAACAGTTACTAAACAAGGAACTTCAAAATAGAAACACATGAATAAAATAATTTTCTCATGCAATCTTCAAAATGCAAATAAATTTTAAGGTTACCAGCATAAGCATAAGGAAGTATAGCTTCATCAGCTCCTTTAGACAGGAGGACAATCTTTCCATTCTGACAATCTTTAACAACTACAGACATTCTTTTTCGTTCAGAAGTAAACTCCAGAGTATCCAGGAGCTCATACCTAAGTAGCAATCCGTTAAATTGAACTTCTGCAATCACAATGAAACAAGGGCATTATTCCAGCAGTTCATCTATCTGAACCAGTTTGCCTTCAGAAAGATGACTCTCACCAAGAATATTAGCATTCTTATTGACAAATACCATATGCAAATAAGCAGCCGCATTCACAAGAGCATCCTCATCCTGTGACTGTGCCTTGTACAAGATATTTCCACATTTACTGAAAAAGAACAGAGAGATTAGAAGCGTTTATTTCAAACCTGAAATCTGCACATGCAACGGCATATATATAAACTGACTTGACCAAGAAATTTTAGGTGAATTTTAAGAACCAACCCACTTCCACTTAAAAGACTTTGACCATAAAATCACCTTCTTGTAGGCACCACTGTATTACATATTGCCATAATTGTGAGGAATCGTATAACATCTGGAGAGCTGCTTGCAACAGCATTGAGCAACTTTGTATCTGCACGCAATGGAAAAAATTAACAGTTCAGATCAATGAACGCTTATAATCTATTAAGTGAAAAATAAATTATATATAGGTCATAGAAAACAATGCAATGAGAAGGATGCTTTTGACAACAATCAGTAAGCCAAACCTTTCAAGGCATCTCCACTTTCATTTCCATAAAAAATACCACTAATACAGCATCTTCTGAAGATCATCTTATTTTCAGTGAGGGTACCAGTTTTATCTGTCAAGATGTATTCAACTTGTCCCAGATCCTCACTTATTGCTGTACTGCCACATGTAAAATACACCTCTAAGAAAGTATGTAAGATATCTGACATTTAAATGTCCTTACACAGAACCCACAATAGTTTTTCGCATTCTTGTCCCAACTTCCTTATAACTTACTTCGTGGCATGGGAAGGAATGGCAGTCTCACGGTCAATCATCTCATAGTCCCAATCAATAAATTTTGCATATAAGCTCTTTACAAGATCCAGAGACACCTGACAAATGTAAATATTTTAGTCAACAACAATATTACAGCCAACTTTTCCCAACTTTTTTCCACTGCTTTAAGAAGATAAAGATTAACCAAATAATTAAAGCAAATATGCAGTAATATGATGTACGTGAATTCCTATAAACTTTATCATTTAAATAACCAACTTTGACTTGGATGAATCATATGACCATCAACCTGAGCAATTATTCAATGGTGAAATTGCAGCTATTTAACTATTGTTTTGTGCCAATAAGCTGCAAACACGGGTAGGGGAATATTGTCTATCAGTAAGCACAGCATACCTTAATTGAAATGGGTATCATGATGGAACAAAGAAGCTCAAACCGAAGAGGGATGACCAGTAGCTCATACCACGGACCTTCATCTGGATGTTGCACATACCATAGCTACAAAGTACCAAAAGATCAGCTTACAATTGACAGAAATACTAAAGAATATATATAATTAATACTACGGCTTCACTCAGATGGGAGAGAGAGAGATTATAAACTCAGTAGCAACATACAACAGACAGCTCCATGTTAATTCAAAGTCAAAAATCAAGATGTCACACAAAAGCTTTGGAAACAAACAGATTGTAGCAAACCTTTCTGGCTTCAGAATCCTTCCACACATTACCAGCAATACCTAGAACAACAACCACTACAATTTGAAAAACAAATATAGCACCAGTTAACTTGTCAATCATTGCATCCATAGCTGTAAGTTTTGGTTCTGGGACACCCCTGCTCATTCCAAGCTTGGTTTCATTGCCTGAAAAAATCAAACATAGAAAGTAAACTACAAGAAAATTGGATATTGCCATATGTAAAAATTTTGGCTCATACATCTATGCAATTCTGCAAAAGATTTGTCCATTACTACGTCTCAAATCCACCCAAAAAAGAAGGGAAAAACACTAGCAAATAATCAATTCCAACAGAAGTTTGAAGATACCAAACAAAGCTGAACTACCTTTTAAGCAAGTCTTATCATTATGTAAATTATAATCCCGGCATTATAAACATCTAGTTTCTTCCTAACATATTTGTATAGATAAGGTATCAACTGCAAAGTTGCTGCTTGTTATCCTTCTCTAACCTTTTTATCAATCATCATGAAGGAAACAAAAATTATTCAATGAATAGTAGTCTATATAAAACTTGGAATCTCTCATGCAAAGAAACTTGCCTGTGTAGACGGCTACTCCACAGACCCACTCTGTGTTCCGCAAGTAACATGACTGAAGAATTGTGTTTTTTATTGTCAAAGGGCACACGTCATTGTCAATAAAAGGAGGAAATAACCGAACATTTGCATCAAATCTTCTAATATCCCTATCTGGTCTTGGACACTCTATAACACCCTGCCAATGAAGGTGAAAAACAAATTATTGTCATTTTCACGCTGGAGATGCCTACAAATCTACCATCTGCTTCCACCAAATTAAAACCCTATTACAGATCATAAACATTGATAATTGGATAGAACCCAAACCTTGATCTTGTTTAGTAGATCAAAATCTATTCCCATGCAAGCTGAGGGTATGACCCTTGTCTTCAAGTCAGTTTCCCCATCCAGGGCAGATGTCTACAACATGTCAAATTTTTATTTATTTACTTTTATAAGAAACAAGCCACATGTAAAATAATCATTTCTGAAGAAGTTAAAAATGGCTATCAACTACTATTGTTATTGTTAAACTTGTCATATCAATCAATAGTTTTTCATTTCTGCTAATACATTTAAAAAATAGAAATAATGACCTTGTCTTTTGATAACGTGGATTTGACATTCCATTTTTTTTCATTTAATAAGACAAAAGACAAAAAATAGAAATAAAGGAAGTATTGAAATGGCTCTTGGATCCTATATCATATGAGACAAGTGATTAGAAACTTAAACTAATTCAGCAAACACATGCTGACCTCTATATAGCAAATTCCTTGAGGATCGGAGGTACCAATCAAAACAAGATCACAAGGCACTTCATCGTTCTCCCTGAGCCATACTAAATTACCAACATGAATATCTTGTGCTTGAATCTGCAAGTAAAAGCCAAGAAGTCAAGGAAAAAAATACAGCAAAGCTAACCAGAGGAACAGAAGAAACAGATTATCAATCTAGTTGACAATTAAGAAATTACATTAACCTGAAAAACTATGAGTAGAATTCTAACTCTGTTATATAACAATTTGCTATATCATTAGCTTCATAAATGATCCAACTACTGATTAACATGATATGAAAATATATTTGAAGATTTTTTGAGAAATCAGTTGCTGTTACTAAACAACCTACTAGAAGAAATGCAGCAAATTAATATGCTCCCTTTTTCAAATATGAAAATAAAATCACACTCTTATCAAAATATTGAGAGAGGTTCCTACAATTTTTCTGGTACCCTGCCTCACAACCCAAACTTCTTTCTCATTTGCTTTCTTGTCTGACAAATATCTATTGTAATCATCCCATGCCTCTTTTGTTGCAGACACTGCAAAAATGAAGATAAGAGGACCCCATGTACTTGCGGGGTTTACTGGAGTTATGAGCGGCCATAACTGTAGGCAAGCAATCAACAAAAAGTATTGATTCATGAAGCGGCTGAAAGAAAACAAAATAGAAATTTGTTAGGAAAGAGGAATGCATGTAGAATTCTAACGCATCTACTCTAAGTATTATAAATAATACAAATGTGTAAAAGAGAACAAATGAAGTAACTTTTTTTTATTTTTTGAGGAGGAACAAATGAAGTAACTTCATAATGAATCAATAGTGAAATTCTAGAAGATTAAGGAAAACTTCATGAAGAGGAAAGATAGAGCCAGTCTGAAAGAAAATGAAATATCCATGGTCTCTCTCTAGCAATTGCGTAGGGTAATTCTTGAGATCATGTGTCACATCAGTTTCGGAATATAATTCTACAGGAACTACAGAAATTCTGATAAGATCTAATAAGGACTACTATGATGGGAAATCACCTGAACTGTTCCCATAAATTTTTGGGGAGAAAGTTCAATAATGTGTATTTTCGATTTGAAATGCGGTTATCACGGTAAAGATCATTTGATGATTCATCATCGTTGATGTAAACATAACGCTTCATCATTTATCTTGAAGCTTTCAATCAAGTTCAATTATTGTTACAAGTCCAATGCGGCCCTTATCTATTTCGATAAGCTCTGCTGCAGTAATTTATGAATTTGGCATCCTGCGAGAGAGGGGGAGTAAAATTTTCAATTTCAAATACTGTTGTAATTCCTAAAATGCAAATATGAAACGAATAACCAAGCATTTCTATTGCACTTTGCTCCCTGTGTAATCATGGATGTCTAGACTAGCATACACACACGGCAACATGTCTCTCTCACATATACATGCACCAAATCTACATATATTTGAAAATTGAATTTAAAATTGTTGAAATAAAATTTAAAACAAAAAAGGAATGAGAGAAAAAGAGGGAGACCTACGGCGATGCTTCCAATCAAACTTGATATGGCTTTATCTATATACCAAACAAGTTCACGGATGAGTTTAACTAGTATTCTAATCGAAAATAAGTACTAATCTTTTTCAATTGAGATGAAAACAGCTTATAGTTGAGCTGAATAAACATTGCCTCCATCTAATGGCAAGTCAAGCTCTCTAGACCATTAACGTTGTTCTCTCTCATCTAGCAGAAATTAATCAATATCATTACAATAGCCTACAAGAATAACAGACAGAGGCTGATAAAAGGTACAATGCAGAGCGCCACTACCAATTACCTAATAACAAAGCTTCCTGAACATCAAAAAATACGAACCCAAGAATAGTATCCTTAACTATGGATGTATTACGCTATAGACAATGCCAATATACGAATCGAACATCGGAGACGCATTGAAATTAAGATAACTCAGCAACCCCCAGGAAAAAAATGAAATTCGATCCAAATTTGAGAATAATTTAAAGGAAACAAAAGCGAATCGTCTCGGTTACAGATTCAAAGAAAAAGCATCAATATCGTACCTCAATCGCCATGTGTTGTTCACTCAATTCTTACACATCCTGTTCTTCTAGTCGCCGCGTTGATTACTCATTTCTCTTACCAGCCTGAGATTGAAGAACGTCCATGGAAGATCATACATAAACATTGACATATACTCTTTTCGGTTTCGGTAAATGTATCTTACCAGAGAAACGGTGTGAGCGGATCACGCACCGTTGGATTGTCTTGCCACTCCGTGATTAAACAATTCAACGGTAGAGATCAGAGGAACACTGTAATTCGGTGTATCATTGCAGTCGATTTTTCCTTTCTTTCCTGTTTTCCCTTCCAAGTTCGCGCTGTGTTTTCAAGCTTTTTATTTTATTTTATTTTATTTTATTTTATTGATGACTCTGATCGCACTGATCTAATTTCTAAATATGCCATTTAAAAACATTAAATTAAATTGTGGAAATTACCAGAATTACACAAATTTTGCCCTCATATGGACCAATATGCCCCTCTCTCTCTCCCATCCTGACCGAATTTGGAATGATATACTTCCCATTTCGGGAAATCCGACCTATGCTTTTATTTTCTCTTTTCATGCTAAATTACAAAATTAAAAAAATTAAAAATAATACTCCTCAATTTTGTCGTTTTGTTATAATAATCTCTCTTATTTCAAAAATTTCAATGATGATGTTTAGTAAACATAATTTGATCAAATTTTTGTTTATACTGTTTAGTGAAAAGTTGACCTAGCATAATTTAAAACGATATGATACTTAACGTAGTATTATAGGTCCTAATTTGATCAAATTTTTGTTTATACTGTTTAATGAAAAGTTGACTTAACATAATTTAAAACGATATGATAATTAACGTAGTATTATAGGTCCTAATTTTGTCCAAAGGCTTTTTCTACATTGTCAGTAGAGTTGGCTCCTCTATTATCTATCAAATTTTGCCATAATTTATTCTTCCAGATCTTCTTTCTGTTTATATTCAGACAAACTTCTACTTTAATTACTACATTGTTCCAAATTTTAATACGTAAGCTTTTTCTTTAAAATATTAACAGAGGAAAGTTTTGAAATAAATAGAAATATCCTTTAAAAAAAAGGCAAGGTTTATGGGTATCATTTATTTTTATTTATTTGAATTTTCCCTTCTACAATATTTTTTCTTATTAAAATATAATATAATAACTATTGTTAATTACTTTCCCAGAATATTAAAATTTTGAGGGAAAAAATGAATAAACCATAGAATACTAAAATCTAGGAGGGGCCATGGAATGTCCAAGATCAGTAGGAACATTTCAGGATGGTCCATAAAATAGGACGACAAGTCCATGATGGTCTGAGACCATTATATTTTATAATAATGTTCTCTTCACTTTTTATTTTATAGAGTAACTCTAATCACATCACATTAAACAAAATAAAATAAAAAGGTTAATTGCATTAATAACATGATGCAAACTTAATAAAATTTAATGTTTATAAGAAGTATATCACTTATTAAAAAAAAAAAGTATATCATTATTCACTTAGTGCATAAATATGGTTCAACAGTAATTAGTATCTATCATGATTTTTTCTTTGAGGTTAGAAGTTTGAACCCACATCAGAAAAAAAAAACTAATGTATTTTCAATTTGTTGTATTAAAAAAATAATAGTAAATATATAACTTAAAAGATGATTTTATAGATAAATGAGAAGAAAAAATGAAAAGATGGTTCATGTAAAATGTAGAAGTTTTTTTTTTTTTTTTAAGTAATGTAAAATGTTTAAGTTACTGGTAGTTTGGTAAGAAAAATGTCATTTTAGCTCAAATTTTAATTGCAGTTTTAATTTTAATTTGTTATCGTACCGTTGTAGTTTGAGTTAGTTTTAATTTTAATTTTGTTTGTCATTTTTACCCAATTTTATGACATGTTTGAGGACAGCAGAAGAACTTCACAAAGTTAAGGTAATTTGTTAACTCGATAATATCTTTAATTCACTATCAGAATCATTTGCACTTCTTAGCTTCAGCTTGTTGGCAAATCTGTAGGCAGTCGATTTCAACCTCCAATTTGAATAAACCTAGCTCAATCATAAAAATAAAAACAATAATACATGCTCTGTATTTTCTTCTCTTTTTTATTTTAATGGAACCCAGAAAAACAGCAACAAACATTAATAACAACTTCCCAAAAAATCGTGCTTCAACACCCTCGAGATCTCCGACAATAATACATGCTCTTAATATCTACTATTTATTGATATTATTATGATAAATGTTTTAACTAATTAAATTATGTTATAAAATAGAACATATATATATATATATATATATTTTATACCCTCAGAAAATAGAACATAACATTGATATTTGTTATTAGATTTGTTTGGATACCCAATTTAGAGGGACAAAAACGATTAAAAAAATGTAAATAAAGGGCATTTTTTAAAATGTAAGTTCTAGGGTATATACGGAAAAAGTCCACAAAAAAGCCCAAATAAGTCATCCGAATCCAACTAAAAGCCCATCACTTCTGGACAAAGGAAATTGGCCATGTTCAGAAGCTGAGGCCGGCCCAACTTTTTACATTCACGGGCTTTGGTATCAGTTTCAGAAATTCACCTGAATTTTAAACGTGATCTATTTTAATTCAAACATAAATAATAAGATAAATTTGTAAATTAAAATTCTTTTTATAATGTTAAAATGTAGGATCTAAGTTAATTAAATAATAATAATAATAATAAATTTAGAATATAAGTCATTCTTGTAAAAAGTTTTAAGCCATTGATAATAAATTAAATAATCACTTACATTAAAACTAACACAAACATAACTAATAATTATAGCACATAAACAGATTTGAATCACCTTTTCTATCCCTACATATTGTAAAAAAAAAATTAATAACATATTTCAGTATCTAACCTACAACCAGTGTAATGTTGTATTATAAATACAATTATAATCTTAAATTAATGGTTGAGGCAAAATTAAGTGAGTAAATCTGTACTTAAAATAAAAGTGGGTCAATTTGAAGCACTGTTTTCCTACAAGTTAATAACTAATTTAACTGTCATAAATACTTCAGGAGAAAAAAAAAATTATTGATTCAATTACAGATAAAAAATTATTATTTGGTGATAGGATTTTGGCGAAAAAAATTACAAACCTTTCCATTATTTATGACATTTACTAACTAACATGAAATATCATAATATTTTTCAAACCTTTACTAATCATTTATGAAAAAAAAAAAAAAATATANTTTACAAAGATGTTATGTATATACATGTTTTAAGAATAAATTCATTATTCTTTTTTCTTTCCTCACATTACTAATGTTTAAATATTTTGGGAAAAAAAAAAAAAAAAAATATATATATATATATATATATTAATATTGTTACGAAAATAGTAATAATACTATATATCTTAACTAATCAAATTATTCAATATTTATTGGTCTTTTTTTAAGCGTAAGAATATGAAACATAACATTGATATTTGGTTAAAGAATGTATCTCTAACTAAAAAATCGTGCATTCAAACTTGTACCCCACGAAACAAAAGAAAAAAAATACATTGATATTTGGTGTTAGATTTGTTTTGATAGCAAATTTAGAGCGGCTCAAAAATTAATTTTAAACAAGTTTCTTGTAGTATCTTTGCAAAATTATAGTTATTTATAGATTTATCTTTTGAAAATTGTAAATAAATATATAAAGAAAAGTTCTAAAAGGATCCATCCATAGTAATATTTCTAGGACTCCAAGGAATTTTATAGTTCTTTTAAGATAGTATTGCATTTACACGAGAAATATATAGAATATAAGGAATTATTTGTTCACGCTTCTAGGATAATTTGTCTTATCTTGAAAAGTCTCAATTTCGTACCTTTCAAATAAAAGTTTTTTAACTCAAGAGTCTATTTCCTTGTGCTAATTTATTCTACATGGACTATATGAAGGCAGGTAAATAATAATCATCATGACACTACATAAACTATATGAAAGGCATGTAAACAATAATCATAGACATCAATTGATATGTACAGGTATGTATATATTTCCCATCCAAAACTAAAGATATAAGCCTTATAAATAAGCAAACAACAACGATTAGATCTATCTAATTAAATACAATTAATAAGATTGAAACAAGTCAAAACGAATATAGTTTAGCGGTAATTGACATATATCTCAAACCAAAAAGGTGTAAATTCGATCATCATCCTCCCATGTTGTATTAAAAAGGAAAACATTGAAACAAGATATTTGAATATTGGGAGGGAGAAAGGAAAGGAGGAAGAGAGGTGGAAAGAGAGAGAAGGTAAAGGAGAGGGGGAGGGAGGGAGAAACCAAGAGGGAATAATATATCATCCACTGGTCACCAGTAGTAGGCCCAACCACCAAATCGATTGGTTTGGTCGATTTCGATCGGTTGGCTCGATTTTTCAGATCCCCTTACTCACCCCTACTTGTCTCTATTTAATATATGGATAAGTAGTCTAACATTTGAGCTCTTATCATGCTTATGACATTTTGTGTGTCGTCTCTTTATTTGTTATATTTTTTAGGATTTATGATTCGATTTGATCATCTCAATTTATTGAAGTTAAACGAAATCTAAAATATAACTACAAATTAAGGTGGTTTGTAATTTTTTAAACCTTTGTATAATTGATTGATAGTTTCAAGGTAGATGAAATGGATTAATCCCTCAAATTCATATCAAACTTTTATATCAACATTTTAGTTGATGTGATTTTTTGTTATTGCTATACCAAGTTATGAAAAATGGATGGGGTGTTTGTATGCCATTTCCAACCTCGTGACGTAGAAAAGTGAAATTTTGTGTGAAAACTCTTTTTTCATACACCAAATTAAAAAGATAAAAAAAAAGATATAAATGACGTAGAAAAGTGACCTCCCAATTAGAATTAGGTACCTTAACCACTTGAGCTACGTTGGGTTTGATAATATAACTTAAATGTTAAAATATATGAGATTAAACAAATATTTAATCAAAATTTAATAAATAGTTGCATTCATACTGAAAAGATAAGAAAGGAGGCGCAAGTACAAGTTCCGGGAATAGATTAGATAGATGACCTGGGACACGTGTCAACGATTCTGTGTGAATTTATTTATTTATTTTTGTTGTGGGTCCGGCACAATAATCCAAGTGAATAAATTGATACGGCCGCCGTGGCGGCGGAGTTTTTGGCCTTCTCACCATCTGATCTCAACTTCTCACACGGCTTCTCTCTACGCCGTTACCGTACGTAGCCGGTCCTCCTCTGCGTCGCCTCACCCG